TAAAATCTGCACTTTTCAATTCTAATGCAGATTATTTCCTAAACTTGCCAGTAAAACAGAGCAGATTCTGGTGAGAAAACACGAAGCAAACCAGGATTTTCATCACAACAACACTGGAAAAACAATCATTAAAGCAGATACAATCACAAAGCATGATTACAAGTCAAACAAAAGCTGTCACACAAAACAACTGATCTATAAAAACGACAATAAACAGCAGTTTATTTGCAGATAAACCAAACTCACCCACTGAAGGCTGCAGGGAGAGGCAGTGCAAAGGAAGGGACAAAGGAGTTTTCCTTCTCCCTGGTGATGACACCGAGGATGACTCTCCCCAAAAGAATGTTGCCCATGTTGGAGTGCCCATCCTGCAGTCAAATATAGCCCCTGCCAGCCCTCCCTGGACAATGGGGATGGCCCAGCTGGGGACACTCACTGCTCTCTGCTGTGCCATCCAAACACCCTCCCAGACCTGTCCCCAAATGTTGTGAATATTGGCTTTGCACAATTATTCTGATAAATATATACTACATGCTTTCGCTATATTCTTTTCTCTCTTAGCAAGTTATAGGCTTAGATGGGAGTTCTGAATGGGAAGGATATGTTTCATCAGGACAAGGCAAGATAACTCCAACAGGCACAACAATGGGAGGATCAAGATGTTTTTTCCAACAGAAGGACAGTGGAAAACAGGTTATTATCAGCAGCAGGAAATGGAGAGCAAACTGTTATCAAAAATACAGGACGTGGGCAGGGGGGAAAGATATGGAGCCCTCAGAGGAAGGATGAGGGGCCCAGATTGTTATCAACAAGTGACCACTTGCAGAAGAAAGGAAACCAAACTTCAAATAATGCTGACCAGCTAGAATAATGATGACCAGCAAAAAAAAAAAAACCAAGAGGGCAGAACCAGGGAGGGGACATGTGTTGAATATGCATTAAACCCTCACAGCAAGGATGGGATAAAAAGGGTATTCCCAAAATACCAGATGTGCTCTTGCCTGGCCGTAACTCTTTGCTTTATTTTATGTCTTTTATTGTCTTTATTAAACTTTTTACTTTTTTTTTTTTTAATTTTATAGGAGTGAACTTCGTTTTTCACACCAAGGAGGGACTTCCAAAATCCACAGCACTGGATAATGTTACTGCTGAAGATGCTGAAGATGAATTTCACACTTGAGGTGTGGTGAAAAGAAGAGAAAGTTTATTTTTCCTCCCAGCATTTATAGGTTTCTGACCCCAGCCAGGGATGGGATGGTCAGGATAACACTTTCTCACTGCACTGGCCATGAGAGATGCCCATCACAAGACGTGGAACAGAAAGAATGTACACATATCTATGTTTACATTTCCTGTCCTGGGAAAATCCTTAGAAAACCATGTCAGCAAGCTCAGAAGCTGAGTTTTCAGGGTGACAGATAATGCTCTGCTCTTTTAGGACAGAAACTCACAAAGCATCTAAACTGAATTCTGAATATTTTAAGTGTCCAGGAATGTCCCTTGGGGTAATCATTGCTGCCTAACAGAGCGACATCATTTGATTTGACATCTCTTTAGTGAGTGTCAGCTCCAGGCAAACGCTGGCAGTGTCTGGTTACACCAGGAGCTCCAGCAGCTCTCAGCTTTTGGTGGGCTGTGGTGGATTTATTTCCTTTTTCCAGCAAACAAAGGCTGAGCAGGTGAGTTTTGTGTATCCACAGATCAGCTCATGGTGGTGTCTGGGTTTGGGGCAGGGTCAGAGAACAGAAGTTGCTGATTCTCTGTTTCTTTGAGGTGGTGTTGCAGTTCCAGCATTCAGGGAAAACCCTTCCCAGTGCTGTGAGGAGCAGCTGATGTTTCTTGTGGTGTCAGAAGGCCCTGTGAGAATGAATTCCACCATCAGACCTGGCACAGTACCAGTAGGAGCCATTTCTAGGAACTTTGTTTGCTTCATCATCCAAGCAAAGCAGAAACCCAGCAGGATCAGCAGCAGAGCTCCCAGGATTTCCAGGTGTGAAGTTCATGCTGTGTTTGTGACATTCCTAGGAAAGCAATAAACAGGAAAATCTGGGCTGGCATGTCTGGGGCACTCTGGTGTGAGCTGAGCTGTCAAAGGGAACAAACACTTCCCTTTCGTTGGTTTTGAACCCATGGCCACTCGAGTGCTCCCCTGAATTTTGTGTTATGAGAAGTAACCTGTAATTATCATCTATTCTGCTTAAAAAAATTATAATTTCATTCATTTTGTCACATCAACCCTCTGTTATAAAATTTATTTTATATAGAGGGGCAGGCACTGATCTCTGGTCTCTGTGAGCAGGGACAGGACCCAGGGAAGGGCTGGAGCTGGGTCAGGGGAGGGTTGGGGTGGATTTCAGGGAAAGATTCTTCCCCCAGAGGGAATGGGCAGAGCCTGAAGCTGCCAGAGCTCCAGGAGGATTTGGACAATGCTCTCAAGAACAAGGTGGGATTGTTGGGATGTCTGTGCAGGAACAGATGATCCCTGTGGTCCCTCCCAGCTCAGGATATTCTGTGAGCTCTCCTTCGTTCTGTCTCCAGAATCTGGAACTTTCCTTTTGTCCCTCAAGTAAGATTTTCCTCACAGAACTTGTTAAAAACTCACCAGTGATTTTTTCATGGTGTCCAAACACCCATCCAGCTCCAAAATAAAGGAGCAAACAGGGAGGGGAACGGGATCCTTGGCTTGCAGAGTGTTCATCCCTGGGCAAAGATCCCTGCTGAGCCCCCAGCTCGGGGAGTGAGCGAGTGCCAGCTCCCAGATTTAGCTGGGAAGACAAAGAGCAATGCTTTGCTCTAGAGTTACAGCTGCCACCTGCTCCTCTGGTGTCCTGGTGACAACTGTCATGGGTGGGACATCTGCTGGGGACACACGCTCCTCGTGGCAAAGCACCTCCAGATTTTATTGTCCAGAGCCAGCAGAAGTGTTATCTGCAGCAGAGCCTTGTCAGGCACAGATGGCTTGCATGGGAAGACCTTTGGAACCATGCTGAAACTCTGCTGTTTATCTGGAAATGTTCCTACCCAGAAGGAGATGGAGATAAGGAGGTCCTGGAGCTGCTGTTTGGCACAAATGGATCCGGTTGGTTCTGAGCAGAGGGAGGCAATGAGGTCAGCAGGGATGACGTGTTCCTTGCTCCAATAAAGTTCAACAGCATCACCATTGCTCTCCAAGCTTTTCCAAAGAGAAATAGCTTGAGAAGGGATGATCTGTGTGTTAAATTTAGGAGGTGACTCATGAGACAAGAATCAATCTCCCTCTGCTCAGAAGATCCAAGCCTCAAAGATCAATATTGACTAAGCCATGAGTAGAGAAGGAAGTTGAAGATATTGCAGTCAGTCCCTCTGTAGGACAGGGCTCTCCTGCCTGTGATCTCTGGGCACTGCAGCTGCTGGGAGAGGATCTGATGGGGCTGGAATCATTCCTGCCTTCTGTTCAGCCAGGGGTAATGCAGCCCTGAAGATATTTAAGGGCCTGAAGGAGAGATGGACGTCCCAGCTCGGGGACACTTTGCATCTTTTGGCACCTGTGTGCATTCTAAAAATCCATTCCCAGACTTCCCTCAGTTCCCAGCTGTCCTCCAGCAGCAGGACACATTTATTACAGTCTGGGCATGATCACACCCTGTGGTGGGGGTACTGCAGGGTGATTTAAAGGCTTTTAAAAATAGAAAATAACATAATTTCAGCAGCAGACTCAAATGCTCTCCCAAGGCCCCCATCCCTTCCACACGACTCTGCCCATACCCAACCTGTGCTGGGGCTACCAACACAATCCAAAATGTTGGTATTGTGGCACTGATTATTCCCTGGGTAGCATCACTGGGAACGTTGTTGACACAAGTTATGCAGCCCACAGGCAACTCTGAATCAGGTAATTTGCATTAATGGCTTTAAATGCCTCTCCAGGGGAGTTTAGCAGAAAAAAAATGTTACCCCTGGGGTCTCCCAGTCTTTGGGAACAACTCCAGGAGCTGCAGCATTTCCCTGTGTGTTGTTTTTTGGGGCACAGAGCAGAGGAAACAGATGAAAGGACATTCCACAAACCCTCTGGTAGTGAATGGTATGGAGGGAGCTCCCTGGAAATGTCCTGCTGGTCACTGCCCAAGCCAGGCATTTATTTCAGTCTTTGATACCACTTGGAATTTTGGCCTTTTGGCCTCGCTGGGCTGTGGTCCCTCATCAGCTGTTGGTGCTGCAGCTCACTGCTGAACCTTGGCCTGTAAAGTTTCTATTCCTTTAACCCTGGGTTGGATCATCAAAACCTTCACTTCATGAGCCTATGGCTTATTTGCAAAATCACCCCAAAACAAGTGGAATTTACCCTTTAGCTGCAGCTTTCCTAGGCTGAGAAAACCCCCAAGTGCACTTGGAGTGGGAAGAGCTGAATTTGACTTCTGGTCAGCATTGGTCTCTGTGAGTAAATCCTTCCTCATACCAGTCAAACCTTGTTTATTCCTCTAAATGCTTTCACTTCTCTAAAACAAATGTCCTCAGACACGTTTTTTTCACCACAGCAGTGGAAATGAGCAGGCTGAACTGTGTTTTCTTCTGGATGAGAAATAATCCCCTCCTCTGGCCCCTGACTTAGAATTTAGCTTGTTTTTGGTGGAGGTCCAAGTCTTCCAAGGGTTTTAACTCCCAAAAATGGGCCGTGGCAGCTCTGCCATGGAACATGGAGCAGGTTCCTCATGGGCTGTGAGGACTGGGAGGAAGAGCCCCAGACCTCCCTGGTCTCCTCTGTGGATTGCTGAGGGCATGGACTGGGATTGGGATAAACTGAGATTGAGTTTGCTGCCAATCCTCACATCCCTGCCTGTCTGGAATGTGATTCCAGGAGCTTCATCCCTGGGGAATCTCAGGGGAGGAAGAGAATATGTGACTATTGCAGAGAAAGAAAGGAGCAGCAGCTGAGAAACCTCAGAGTTGGGCCAAGACTGCACTAATCTTGCAGAGATGAAAAAAGCTTTATCTTTACACATAAAAAAAATACTTTATCTTTGTACAAGTATTAAAAAAGACTTTATCTTTGTACAGGTATTAAAAACCACAGGGGACAGGGACATATTTCACAGAAGTGCTGTATCAGGAGCTGTTAGCCAGCTTCAAGGACTCCTTTAAAGGCAAAGTCCAGGGAGGTGGAATACTCTTTTCCAAGTCATTTATCCAAAGGTAGAACACCAATAGCTATTTACTCCTTTTACATTAAATACTTCTAGGTTTGCATGCCTGAATTTCTCCAAAGGGAGGGGTTCATCTTAGCCCTCAATCTTTGGTGTTGGTAAAGAGCAAACACGGTTTCTGTTGTGAACTTCGCTAATTTTTCAGTAAACTGAATTTTTGAGATTGGGAACTGAATCTTAACTGATCTTTTAAAGTAATCCATAATAAATTTGAGAATATGCAAGAAATAAAGACCTGTTGTTTGAGTGCAAAGGTACATTATTGCAGTGTAACAAATTCTATCAGTAAAGGCACCAAACTCCACCACAGAACAGTCTGAGCTGTGTTAATACAGCCAGGATCAGCTGTGGTTTTGCATTGTTTCCATTTCATGCAAGAAAACATCCAGAAACCATCTGGATTTTAATACCTAATAAAATTCCATGCTATCCTCCTCATCCCACTGCACTTTCAAGTCCAGATCTTTGAAGAGCACGGTGAGAGGAGTTCCCCTGTCCCAGCTGCTGGCTGGGGACACGCTCAGTTCTGTGCAGCTCAGCTCCTTTTCTGCTGGGAACATTTCCATGCCTGCAGTCCCTGGGAGCTGTGCTTTGCCTGCAGGATGTGGGAATGGCTCTGGCAGCACCCACTGCTCCGCGTGGTTCTCTCCAGGGATGTCACTGCCAGGCCTCACCGAGAGCAGCAGGGCTGCTGACAGCGGTGCCAGCAGCTCCTCCTCTGCCACAAAGTCTGGGGCAGCTTTCCCTGCAGACAGCAGCAGGGGCAGCTCTGCCTGTTGTCTGTAGCATCCTCCCTGTTCCAGCAAAGCCAGGGACAGCTGGGACACGCTCTCTGCCTTTTCCATCCCCTCTCTCTGCAGCAGCAGCTGCCTCTGCCCAGGGCTCCCCTGCATCACACACTCCAGCCTGTCCCTGCTCTTCCACAGGGCCACCTTTGCCAGCTGCTCTTTGTAATCCCAGTGGTTGCAGCTCTTTCCCAGCCCCTGTGTTTGGAGTTTTCCATGCCCAGAACGATGTGGTGACGTTTCCCCGAGCCTCTGCGAGCCGTGGTCGGTGTGGGCCGTGCCTGGCACACACAGCCCGTAGGTCATGGCCAGAACCTTCTGCTCTGCTCCCTGAGGAGTGTAAGCAGTCAGAGCTGGGAATTCCACCTGGGAAGGCCGAGGGGACAGTGGGAATGCTGGAACATCCTCCTGCTGTTGGTAGGGACAGAAAGGCCCTGCTGGCTCCAGGGTCCTGTCCAGATCTTGGCTCATCTGCTGCACTTCAGGGATGGAGAGGCGAGGTTTGGGAAAGCTGAGGGGCTTTATGATGTGCTCCACTGTCAGTGTGAGAGGCTGGAACGATGGAATCCCTCTGAAGTCCTGGTGGAGCAGATAAAAAAGCACCAGTTATTAACAAGAAGCTGTGACCTTGAAGGTTTGCTTTGGTTACTCTAACATTTCTCTAATGTTTTCTTTGGAGAAGTGTCAGTAAGAGCCAGTAACAGCCACCAGGGACCTGCTCTGCTCACAAAATAACTTCCTTTTTGTTCCTGGAGAATGACTATTCACAGAAACACAGCCATTCCTCATTGTGTACCAACTGAGCAGTCCTGAAATATGAGGAAGAAAATCTCCTGCTTTCGCTTTTGCAAGATTTGGCCTAAGCCCTGCAGCATGGAAACAGCATGAAAATCCCTGAGCTCATTAGCATGAAAACCCAATTTTGCTCAGGGGGATAGGTGAGAATCCCAGGGTTTCAAGGGGAACTGAGGATTTAGGATGCCTAAGCTGAGGGGCTCAGTTTGGGGAAGGTTCTGAGCACCCTGAAGCATCAGTAACCTGCAGTGATTGCCTAGACCAAGCTCATTAACCCTTTAAAAGAAGGAGGGTGGGTTTGGATAGGATACTGGGGAGAAATGCTTTCCTCAGAGAGCAGCACAGAGCAGCTGGGGCTGCCCCTGGATCCCTGGCACTGCCCAAGGATGGGCTGGGAGCAGCCTGGGATGGTGGGAGGTGTGGACCCCATAGCAGGGCATGGATTAAATGATCTTTCAGCTCCCTCCCAGCCCCAGAGAGAGGCGATTGCTGATTTCCAAGCTGAGCTGCAGGGCACTCACCAGGGCTCTGGGCTGGGCACTGCGCTGTTTGATGTATTTGTAGGTCACATAAGCGCTGGCAGCAAACACCAGCCCGGCACAGAACGCCAGGGCCACCAAACAGTAGAAAATCCACGTTTTATCTGAGGAAAGAACAAGTGGGAAAAGAGCTGGATTAGAAAAACATCACAATTAGCCAGGTGATGTCACAGGTTTGGTCTCACTGGAATGAATTTTTAAATTATTCAAACATTCCATGCTGAAAATCCATGCATTTTGTGTATCCAATATCCCAGCTAGACTTTTCAACTTTCAGCAGAGTTAACAGCCTCACCTGGCAGTGTTTTGACCCAAAACACCTGAGGTTTGCTCCTTCTCTGCAGCAGACAGATGTAAACTGTCCCATTGTATTCAGTGTCTGGGTCCAAGTTGGAAACTTCAAATTCTTTGCTGTGCTCGTTCTTTGTCCACTGTTGAAAAGAAAGGTAAAATCTTCTTAAGGGAAAGATTAAATTAGATTAAAAAAAGATTCATTTTATTCAATTCAGACTGCAAAATTCAGCATAAAATATTATTTACTAATGAGGTCTCACAGGGCTCTAATTGTTCTGTATGTATGGAACTCTGATTTTTTTCTGAATCATATTTATATGATTTTGTCTATTATTTCTGTATTTAATTTTGCATTTCAGTTTCTTAAGACTTAAGTAGTCTTTATTTCTGTATTTAATTTTGCATTTTCAGTTTCTTAAGACTTAAGACTTAAGTCATTTTTAGTCACAAGTGGTTTTACTTTTTGCTACTTAGTACTCTAGGCAAGTCCTTTTTTCCCCAGGATTTAAGAAGAAAACTTAAAGTTCTTGTCCTGAGAATCAAAAACTCCAAAATTTTCCCTTCTACATCAGAAATCTCCCCCATCCTGTATAAAATAAGATCCTTCTCCAGCAGGAACCCTTAACCCTTAACCCTAACCCTTCTCCTGCTCATCTGGAGATTCACAATGGAGATTTTTAAAATGGGATTTACAACAGGTTGTGCTTTACCTGCTGCTGTGTCCTCTGGTTGAATATTGTCAGGTGATAATCCACAGCCCCAAATTTGCTGTAAATGTCCTCCACGGTGAGCTGCTGCTCATCCTCACCCCGCAGGGGGGTAAAGGGGGGTCGGATCAGGAACTTTATGGAGCGTACATAAGGAATGTATTCCACTTGTGGTGCCCCTATGATGGCTGGGAAGGGCAGAACAGGCAGTGTTAATATCATCTGATACCTTAAATGCAGCCCAGACTCACTGAAATTGTTATTTCTTTGGTACAAAAAGGTGTCTGAGCTGTGTGAGCATGAGCAGTTCAAATCAGAAAGAGAATCCTTGAATTTTTATTCAGGTTTCTTTAAGAGTCATTAAATGGGTGGTAAAATTTCAGATTGACTGAAATTGTTATTTTTTTGGTACAAAAAGGTGTGTGAGCTGTATGAGCATGAGCAGAAGTTCAGATCAGAAAGAGAATTGTGAATTCTAGTCAGGTTTCTTTAAGAGCCATTAAATGGGTGGCAAAATTTCAGATTGACTGAAATTGTTATTTTTGTTGGTACAAAAAGGTGTCTGAGCTGTGTGAGCATGAGCAGAAGTTCAGATCAGAAAGAGAATCCTTGAATTTTTAGCCAGGTTTCTTTAAGAGCCATTAAATGGGTGGTAAAATTTCAGATTGACTGAAATTGTTATTTTTTTGGTACAAAAAAGGTGTGTGAGCTGTGTGAGCATGGCAGAAGTCAGGCTGCTGGAGACAGAGGTGGTTTTGGGGGTTCTGTCCAGGAATTCTCATCCCAGGCTTTTCCAGCTCCATGTTCCCCATCCCTGTGTGTGTGAGGGGTGAAATCCAGCACAGGCACTCAGGTAACCCAAATCCCAGCTCCTACACCACATTTACAGGGATTTTCTGCCTGCACTCATCTCTGGTGACCACCCACCACTGCAAAGGGTTTAATCCAAGTTTTCACAGCTTTTCTTTTGCTCCAAAGGTCTGAAAGCTCTTCACAACCATGGGATGCTGATGGCACCTTGAATGATTCTTGGTGATTTTAGCCACAGAGCCAGTGAGGCCCCCGAAGGCTGCGCTGTGTCTGCAGCAGGGCTCACTTTGGAGCTGGGACACAAAACATCCATTGGAAGGGATGCTCATCCCAATGTTCCCATTCCACAGCTCCTGGCACTCTCTGTCCTCATGTCCCTTACTCATTTCTTTATTCCTCTCCTCCCACCACACCCTATCCCACCTTAGGGTCAGATCTCAGCTGAAACCCTGCCCATTGCTGACCTCCTTCACTCCCTCCCCACCAGGCACAGAGCTCTGCAAGGCTGAAATGTGAGGAAATGCTGCCCTGAAGGTGCTGGGAAGGAGGATTTGGTGGCTGGTGCAGTGGTACCTACTCTCTTTGCGGGGCTCGAACCTCTCGGAGCGCACCCAGCTGGGGGAGCAGCCCCTGGCCCTCACCCGCCCGTAGAAATGCTCCGTGAAGTTCTCTGTCTCCTGGCTGAGGTTGCAGAAGAGCTGGGTGATGCTCTGGCACTCCAGCTTGGTGAGCCAGGATTTCTCTCCATACCTGAGGGTAAAACAAGGGTTTGGGGTTGTTTGGTGGGACAGGGCTGGAGGAAAACAGAATAGAGAGAAGGAAGTTGCTGCAGGCAAGAGCTGCTCATTCTCTAGGGGATAATTCAGGAAATAGGATTGAGATCCAGACTCCAGGATCAAACAGAAACACCACAATCTGTGGTGTGGTGTGGTCACAAAGTGACAGCAGAGGAGAGCTCATGGAACACAGCAACCCAAGATGTAAAATATTTGTTTAAACGAGCATCACCTCCCACTTTGAATAATCCTGTCCTTCACTGAGCTCTCCTCTGAGCAGAACCATAATAATACAGGCAGGAGAAACAGCAAAATCAACTTTTCTCTCTCTCTGAGACCCCTAAGAACAGCCTAAAAGAAGCAAATTTCACGTACTGTTTGTACTGGACATCAAACACGGTGCCAGGGGGAATATCTGACTCCGTTTCCCACGTCAGGATGTTCTCAAAGTTTGTGGAAGTAAATGCTGCGCGTTTCAGACATGATGGTCTCTCTGCAGCCACAATACCTGAAGGAACAGAGAAAGTGGTTTTAAAAAGCACTTTCTGACATCCCAGCCCTCGGATGAAAACGGATCTTGTGGTGTTTTGCTGAAGCTGGGCTGAAAAGGAGCTTGAGCAGAACAAGACTTTCAACTTCACACTCTTGCACACAGACTGACTCATCCCAAAGAAATGAAACTCAGGGATTTATACAGCAAAGCCTCAAAAACTCGAATCAGAAAGAGAATCCTTGACTTTCTAGTCATATTTCTTTAAGAGCCATTAAATGGGTGGTAAAATAATATCCATAACCTGTTTTCAAGGCCAGAATCCCATCTGTGAATGTCTCTGCTTTCTGCCCCTGCTCAAGGAAGTGACGTGCAGAGCTCGGTGCCACCTCCCTGAAGATGTGGCTCATTCTCCTCTCGTGCTCTGTGATTTATTGGATGGAAATTGCCTGTACAGGCGACAGCCGATGTCTGGACTCTGGCCTGGGTGTGTCGGGGTGACAGCAAACAGTTCAGCCAGCTCCTGCTTTCTGAGCCCTGCTGCTCTTCCCTGGGACAACAGGAATGTCACCTGGCCCTGAAAACACGTCCCTGGACAGCAGGATCCCACTGTGGCCCTGCAGAAACCTCCTCCAGGATTTTGTCTCTTATCATGAGAAAGCGCAGCGCAAAATTTCCCCAAGGCTGATCAACAAGAGTTTCTAACTGATCTATAAACTCTGAATTCAAATTACAGGCAGATCCTCAAAGATAAATAATTTATATATTATTCTCTTGGTTTGTGGCACTGAATAACATCTGGGGCATGTGAGGGCTTCAGCCTGCAGTGAACAATGAGACCCCTGGTGAAAAAAGTGGGGTGAGCAAATGAAAATAGCACAGATGGGCAAACTGAGCACTGGGATGGGGATGATTTAAACAAGGTCACATCACACAGAGACTGAATCCCACCTGGATTCTCTCTCCAAGCTTTCCCCCCGTGGGCCAGAACTGAGTGTGAGCGGTTCAAACTCCCTGGCAGAAAGGCACAGATCCCTTCTCAGTCCTGAGTGTGGCATTTGGGCAGGGAAATGGAGCAGAAATGGGCTCCAAATCTCCTGATTCCATCTGCAGCTCTGCATTTCCCTCTGCTCATTCCAGGCTCAGCAGGGTGGGTATGAAGGAGTGGGATTCCCTGCCTGAACACCCTGAAAACTGAGTCACAAATACCCTGATCTTATCAGGAGCAGGAAATCTGGGTCTTCCCACATTTATCCATGCCAGAACGCTGTTATGCAAAGCAGCAGGCACAGTCAGGTGTGGGTAGGGAAAAACCAGGATATTTCACAGTCTAACATCCCTTGGGCCCAGGAGTTTCACAGATCCCAGACAGATGAATGACAAGGCTGAATGCTGAAAAGCTGGTGTCTGGAAAAAGAGCAAATTTATCCTTCATTCACCCAGCAGTGGGTTTGTCACATCTGGAGTAGGATTAAATGGCTTTTAGAGGGAGAAATTTTTCCCTGGGAGAGTGGGGAGCCCACAGATGGGGCTGCCCCATCTCTGGAAGCACCCAAAGCCAGGTTGGTCGGGACTTGGAGCACCCTGGGATGGTGGAAGGTGTCCCTGGGGCTGGGATGAGATGAGCTTTGAGTCCCTTCCAGCCCAACCCCTCTATGACAACTCCCAGAAAAAAATCAGGATTCGTTTGTGCCTTTGCTTAAGGCACGAGGAGACTGAGCCAAAGCCCCCTGATACCAGTGGATGTCCTTCACTCCTGTAGGATTTGGGTTGTAGCACAGCAACAAACCCTTTGGAGGGAAGGAATCTTTTCCTCTCCCTACTGATCCCTCAAGAGCCGAGCACCAGCCACCCATGGGAGTTACTACGAGGACAGAGCGACACCCAAGTGAACTCAGCAGCTCATTCCAAGGTGAAATAGGAAATATTCAGGAAATAGGATCGAATCCCAGACTCCAGGATCAAACAGAAACACCACAATCAGCGACAGCAGAGGAGAGCTCAGGACTTACCAACCACTGAAACTCCAGCCAGGACGATCAGAAACGGCTTCATGAATAACTCTGCAGCCTGGGCTGCAAGAACAGGCTCCTGTTTGCAGGTGAATCACCTTTTCACGAGAGCTGAACGCTTCCTTGCCAGGCCAGGTTGGATTTGTTGCTCAGAAACAGAGCAGAGCTCCTGTCCTGCCCTCCCTGGGCTGGGAGCAGCTCGGAGCCCTGCGCAGGTGTGACACAGGACAGAGTGACAGCAGCAGCACCTCTCCCCTCCAGTGCACACCTGACTGTACAAAGGTGCACAGAGGCTGAGAAAATCCCCAGCTCCTGAAAAAGAGCCAAATACCTTTTTGCTGAGAGCTTCCTGCCCTGAAAGCCCTCCCTGAGGTTCCTGGGGTTTGAGGTTTGTTTTTCTGCTCGGGTAACTTGAGCTTGTTACAACTGTGAAAAAACGAGTTTCAAATAGAATTTGAAAGTTTAATAAAAAAGACAATTAGGAGAAAAAAATAAAGTAAAAATATACAGATAGGGCTGGGTGTCTCTGCATTCACCTCACTGACAAAGGATTGTCCCTTAAAAACAGAACCCTGCTACATATCCATAAATTCTCACACATATTCAGACATTCTAAAGATTTTTGGGGTTCTGTTCAGTTTTCTCTTGCCCCCTTCCCAATAGATCAATGCTCTTGGTGCCATCGAGATTTACATTCCCTGATCACAGAAATGCAATAAATTCCTCCCCCCCAGAGTTCTGGTCACTGCTGTCCTCATCTGGATAAGAGAATTTACAAATGCAGGAGTTCTCCAGCTATTTTTTTCCTCAGTCTTTGGGTTATACAAACAAAAGCAGTTTTTATTTTAATACTATGCCATAGCCCAACATATATGTATTATACCACTATTTCTAAATTTCATCAATAACAGAAATAAACTCTATTAATACAACAAAAAATTCTCATTCTTATACACATAACATTCATTTTAATATTTGCAAAAAGCCAACAATATGAAATGTATCTATAACACAACTCCAGACATTAAAACTTAGAGCTGTGCACCTGAGTGGCTTAATACCTGCTGCAAGCAATTTTTTCCTATTTAAGGAAATAGGAAATTACTTATTTCCTTAAAAATCCTGCTCAATTCTTTCTTAAAAAAGAAAGCACTGGGTTTTATGCTCATCTGTTGTTCTTACTGGCCTTGGATGGTGTTATAGATACATTTTATATTGTTGGCTTTTTGCAAATATTAAAATGGATGCTATGTGTATAAGAATGGAAATTTTTGTTGTATTAATAGAGTTTTCTTTATTTCTGTTATTGATGATATTTAGAAATAGTGGTATAATACATAGATGTTGGGCTATGGCATAGTATTAAAATAAAAACTGCTTTTGTTTGTATAACCCAAAGACTGAGGAAAAAAATAGCTGGAGAACTCCTGCATTTGTAAATTCTCTTATCCAGATGAGGACAGCAGTGACCAGAACTCTGGGGGGGAGGAATTTATTGCATTTCTGTGATCAGGGAATGTAAATCTCGATGGAACCAAGAGCATTGATCTATTGGGAAGGGGGCAAGAGAAAACTGAACAGAAGAACCCCAAAGATCCTGAGAAGAATGTCTGAATATGTGTGAGAATTTATGGATATGTAGCAGGGTTCTGTTTTTAAGGGACAATCCTTTGTCAGTGAGGTGAATGAAGAGACACCCGGCCCTACCTGTATATTTCACTTTATTTTTTTCTCCTAATTGTTTTTTTATTAAACTTTTAAATTCTATCAAGATTATGTGAACCTCGTTTTTCACAATGGGAAAAAAAGGATCAGTGCATGTCCTGCTGCAGCCTGGGCTGGGCAGGAGCTCCTCAGCTCTGCCCTATGCACCACCAGCTTCTCCCACCTGATGTGGGAAATAAGTGGAAAAGTGGTGGCATTTCCACCTCTGTCCCACAGCTTCTTGCAGAGGCCATTGTACACCTGCAATGTTTATTTTTGTGGCTGTTTGCAGTGTAAAGTTCTGTTAATCCACGTGATAAGAACTGGGAGTTTGTATGGACAAGAAAGGGATTGTAATTTCCATCCCTTTTCCATAATGTGCTCGGTTTTTAGGGTGTTGTTAAGTTTAAATACAAGTTAAATTAAAATAAATTAAATTAAATTGAATTGAATTAATTGAATTGAATTAAATTAAAATAAATTAAATTAAATTAAAATAAAAATAAAAATAAAATAAAATAAAATAAAATAAAATAAAATAAAATAAAATAAAATAAAATAAAAATAAAATAAAATAAAATAAAATAAATTAAAATAAAATAAAATAAAATAAAATAAAAATAAAATAAAATGAAATACAAATAAAATGAAATACAAATAAAATAAATAAAAATTAAAATAAAATACAAATAAAATAAATAAAAATAAAAAAATAAAATAAAATAGAATAAAATACAAATAAAATAAATTAAAATAAAAATAAAAATAAAATAAAATAAAATAAAATAAAATTTAAATAAAATAAAATAAAATAAAATAAAATAAAATAAAATAAAATACAAATAAAATAAAATAAAATAAAATACAAATTAAATTAAATTGAATACAAATCCTGTGTGAGGTTCTGAAGGTGAATGTTGATTTCAGTGCTCTATCCTTGTGGCCAAACGTGACAGAATTCACAAACCCCTTCTGCTTTTCTCCTCATCTGTGGCTTTCCTGTTCCTGATGCTGTTTCTGTTCCCTGTCCTGGTGAAAGGGCTCAGTGCTTCCAACCCTGCCATGCTGCATCCATCACTTTGTCACTCTCAGCTCCCCTGCACAGAGGCAGAGGCTCAGCTTTGTTAAACCAGACACACCTATCCACCAGCGTCTAATTAAGTACAGCTATTTATTAGGGTGTTTCCTGAGCTGCCTGCTAAAAATATTTCCATTTTTTTCCCTTCCCTCACGTTCCTGCTGTGTGATGGGGCAGAGCTGAGGGACCTTGGTGTGCACCTGAGCTTTCAGTTCTGAGAGCAGAATTCAAACTTTACCTCTGCCCTCGTTTCTAGCAAGGATGTCACCTTTTGAACAGCCTAGGAAACACCCCTCCAGATCTTTGGGGACATGAAGATATCCAAAACTCGACTTTCAAGTTTAAAATTAGGGTTTTATCTATCAAACTTTTGATTTCCTCCCAGTGTGTGGGGACTGCAGCAGCCCTGGTGAGTGAACCCTCCGTGTGAGGATGTGGCACCTGGGGACAGGGAGAGTTCACACCTGGACTCGATGATCCCCAAGGTCTTCTCCTAAGGAAATTCTGCCACCACCTGTCCATCTCACCTGGCCTGCAGCCAGGTTCCTTGGAAAAGAACTGATCCCAGGGGTTGTTTGCAGAGCTGGGACATGTCAAAATCATTTTGTAGCAGTTACTCAACCTCAGTGCTTCCTGTAAGTCAGAGCCTGGGGGTTTTTCCTTGATTGCACAAGAAATGGGGTGGTGGTTGTGTTTGGATCATCTTTCCAAAGGAACAGGAGGGATAACAATGCAGGATGGACCTCAGAACACTTTGCAGAGGACAAAGGAATATTCCTGCTGCCGAATCTTTTCCCCCACCTCCCCTTTGGACTTTCATTCAGGACCTTAATTTCTGCAAAACACTTCCCAGTCCCTCCTATCAGCCCTTAACTCTTTTTTCCTGATTTTTAGGAGATTTCAGCTCTCATGCCCTCCATCAACACCCTCCCCTTGTCTGAGCCTTCTCCCTGAATGCAGAGAATGGCTGGGGAGTGGTTCCCTCTTTCTTTTAACTTTGCTTTCCTCTGAGTCCTTTACACAAAGCCTCCTTTTGATACTGGAGTATAAAAACCCTTTACAAGGGCACAAAGTGATGGGACAAAAGTGATGGGACAAAAGTGATGGCTGGACAGGGCTGGGAGCTCCTGGGACAGTGGGAGTGGGGTGCAGTGGGATGAACTTCAGGATTCCTTCCCACCCAAACCATCCTGGGATTCTTTGTTCAGAGGGAGACTCACAGTCCTGCTTTTGCAGTGATCAGAGTGACCTGGCTGGGAAGTCTCAGAATCCCAGCCCAGGATTGGGTCTTGTTTTAAAGGAAATGGTTTTTTTTTTTAGGATGAGCTGCAGTCCCCATTTTTAGCTCTGGCAAACAAAACCACGTACACATGGAGATTTCTATCAAAATATTATTGCTCTCAGACATTCTGCACAGCAGGAAGAATTTCAGCTCCAATAAGTATAAAATAAAAAATAAATAAACAAGCTTGCTGCACACTTTGGCTCCAGTTCCCCTCTGTTGGAACACAGAAGGTGAATTCTGCAGGACGAGGTGGAGAACTTGGCATCCCACAAAAACCAGATCTTGCTGAATATCTCTGTAAGGAGCTTCCAGTCAAGCTCTGGAATAAAGAAAAAAATTAGAAAAAATATTCTTACAGGGAATAAAGGTGACACAAAGCAGTTCAAAATCTGCTCCAAATCCACGTGCAGGGACAAAACTGCATTTTCAGGCCCCAGCTGATGGTTGCACCCAGGGCTGGGTTGTGATTTTTGCCTCCCTCACCCCTGGCTGGCACCTTCTCAGAGGGACAGTGACAGGACAGAGGTGACTTAGCAATAAAATGCACTTTTTGTGTCCCTAAAGCCATTGCCAGGATAGGCCAGACATCAGTTTTTTGTCCTTGTTCAAGGATTCTTGGATATCTGGAACTCTCCAGCATTTTCCAGGCACTCCCCAGACCTGCTGGGTATTTTAGATCCTTCCCAAGTAATGTGAGTGCTTGTAGCCTGGGAATTGAAACTTTGGATCGTATTTTTCCTCTGTGTTTGAAGTCTCAAAAGCCTCACTGAGCAGGGTGGGGTCGGGCAGTGCCTCTTCTGTAAAACTGTCACTGCCACAGTCGCTTGCAATGCCTTCATCCTCTGCCACCTGCAGTGTCCACAGGGGGATGAGCAGCTGGCTGCTGGGATCCTCCCTGGGCTGGGATGTGGAGTCCATCTGGAGCTGCAGGCCCAGCACGGATTCCTGGTAATCCCTGGAGAAATGAGGAGCCTTCCTGTGAGGGTGCTGCTCGTGGGGTTCAGCAGGAATCCCCCCCGGCAGGGGGTGAAGGGGGGTCATTCCCATCCTCTCATCCCCGTTTCCATCACCCTGCCCATGCTCACTGGCAGCTGGGAATCTCACATCAGTGAGGGATATCCTTCCCAAGGAGGAACAGAGGTAAAGAGACACCTCCTCGTTCTCCTGGGACCCCGAGGTGTCCACCTCAGCCTTCCTCTCTGCAGAGAGAGTGAATCCCAGGGCTCTGAGGTCAAGCACAGATCCGGTGTGCACAGCCAGCCCTGCAGATCCCGAATCCAAGCTGCTCTCCCCTGGAGCTGCTGTGGGAGGCTGGCAGCTCAGGTGTCTCTTTGGATACCGAGGCATTTCATGGTATGGGATCAAAGGGCTGCTGTCTTCTTCCTCCTCACCCTCTGATGATGATGATGATGATGATGATTGGAAAGAAGCCACCCATGGCAGGTGATGCTCTCCTAAAGCTCTGTTTGTCCTCCTTTGAGGCACTGGCCTCTCTGTGCAGTTCAGATCATCACTGCAGAGTTCCTTTTCACTCAGCTCCAAGTGCAAGGTTGGTCCAGCTGCTTTAAATTGAGAGAAATCCTAGCAGAGAAAAAGGAACGAGACAGTGAGCCTGTGATGCTTTTAGAAGAAAAGTTTGGCTGTGAGCAAGAAATGGGAATTATGAATGTAAAACTGAGAAGTGAAGAAAACCAGCAAGTCAGGAGGGGAGCTCAGAATTTGGGCCATACCAAAACCAGAGGCATCTTCCTTTCCTTGGCCTCGTGCTTCACCAGGCAGCAGATGAAGGGACTGAACACGAAGATAAGCACGAGCAGAAGGATCATAACCAGAAGTGGGAACTTCCACTCCACTGCTGAAAAAGACAGAAATAATCTCTTGTGTGTGGTATTTTTATAGGAATTCAGGGCTCTACACTGACACAAAATATTCAATGTTTTCAGAAAACATTTCAGGGTTGTTTTTTTTTTTTAAATTAAACTATTTCTACAGAAAGCAGGAACCACTCAGCAATAAATTCAACCAGCCCCTTTAACAGGAAGCCTTTTATTATTTTATTTTTGTGGTGAAAATCTGACTTTGGTGGAAATCTCAGCCTTCCCCTCATCCCACTGGATGTTTCCTGAGAAGGGCCATACCTTTGTGGTTTAATTGCACACACACAGGCTGGGAGAATTCGCTGTACTTCAAGCTGATGCTTTCATAGAGAGCCCTGGCACTGAAGCAGTAATTGCCTCTGAGAGCAGTGGTGTTGATGGTCACCGTGTCCTTCCTGAAGTAACCTTCGTATTTCTTCTGTTGCCAAAGCAGAGATGGTTCTTTCATTATTGGGGTGGTGTTTCTGGATGGCTTTTAGCCCACGGATCCCTCGTGTGGCCCCATCTCTGGTATCTCCCCCAGGGCTGATGGATCCAGGGTGGGAATCCCAGTTCTGCTCTTCCAGGGAATGCTGCCAGTGGCACCTGGATGAGTTGTTTTAAACCTCAGATCTTTAGACTGACTGCAGCTTCCCCTTCCTGATAAAAATAGGGAACTACCAGAAAAAATAAGGATGCACACACACACACACACTTCTACTTTTTGTCTGGCTTTGGTTTAACTCTGGTTTGGCTGGTTCATTTCCTCCAGGCCCTGGATCCAGTCCCTCCCTCCCTGCCCAGAGCTTTGAAGCTCTTTCAGTTCCTCCATTTCATCTAAAAAGAACCAATTTTACTGACCTTGTCTTCAGATCCTGCTTCCCAGAGGTTCAAGTCGTATTTCCAAGTGAGGTTCTCCACACATTTGGGCAGAGGGAAGGAGGCACTCACGTGGATGGAATTCTTGCTGACATTCAGGGTCAGCACGGGGGGAGCCAGCTCCACTGGAATTGAGTGAGGAGATGTGAGAACTGAGCTTGCCTGGCTCTTCCCTTCCCAGCACTGACACTTCCCATGGCTGGTCCTCGCTTCCAGCTGTTATCTCGTGATAAGAGGGAAGCAAAGGGCACCTCTTTCTTATCTAAAACACCCCAGACAGCTTGAAGCCGCTTTGTTCAGCTGGGGCACCGAGGAACAAATTCTTCCACTCGCTACAAAATTCATCCTCAAACAATCCCAGCCCCTTCCTGCTGGTGCTCACTGGAATTTCTGCCATCCATAAAGCTCCTGGAGACCTGTGGGGTGTGTTCCATCCATTTGTGGTGTTATAAATCTATATTGTGATGTTGGCTTTCCCAAGTGTTAAGATGAATATTATACGTTAAAATAATATTCAACATATTTTAAATGAATAAAATATGTTAAATATAACATATAATAAATTATATGTTAAATAAGCATAAATTATATGTTAAATATATATAAATAAATATGTTTTTTGGCTATGTATGTACTTTTTTTTCTTGCTAACAAGTTTTAAGCTTAAAAGAATCTGTTAGGTACAAAGCAAGGAAACCCCAGAGGACAAAGACAGTGGGGCCAGAGCTGTTATCAGGAAAAGAACAATAGAACTCAAACTCTTATCAGCAGAAGATATAAAGCCCAGCTGCCCTCAAAGGAAGGATGAGGGGCCCTGGACTGTTATCAACACTGATCATTTGCAGAAAAAAGGAAACCAAACTCCAAATAATGCTCATCAGCAAGAATAACCAGCTGATAATAATAAAATAAAATTTTATTTTATTTGATCTCTTGTAAACACCAGATTGCCAGCTGATAAAATAAAATAAAAATAATGCTGAACAGCAGAAATAGAAATCAAACAGAGCTTGTTCTAAATAGGTGGAACCAGGGTGGGGACATGCTAAATACTTCTTGAAAAAGTTTGAATATGCATCAAACCCTCACAGCAGGAGGGGATAAAAGGAGTTTTCCCAAGATATCAGGGGTGTTCCTGGCAACCCACCAGGGCACCCAGCCATTTTAACCCTTTGCTTTATTTCCTTTGTCTCCTGATTGTCTTTTTGTTTCTATTTAAACTTTTTATAATTTAATCATTTATTTATTATAAAATTACAATTTATAATTTATTTTAATTTATATTTATTATAATGTAATAAGTTAGAATTCTAATCTATAATTTATTAATAGATTTATTAAACTAATTTATAATTTATAATATATAATTTATACTTTATAATTTATAATTTATAATTTATTTTAATGTATA